GGCGGGGCGTCGTGCAGCAGAGAGGAATCGCCTCCCTTGCCGGCTTCAGCATGCGCTTCACGAAGTCGATCCAGACTCGGGCAGACTCCAGTCGTGTCAACAGGTCGCCGCTTGAGCCGGTTCGCGTCCCTCCAGGCGTACATCGCACTAGGAAGTGCTCTGTCGAGGTCGACGCAGGGCTGCAGCAACGCCACCTGCACTGCGGGGTCAGCCCCCGGCAGCATATCGACGCGCTGCCGATTCGGAATGGGATTCGGGTCGACGGCGAAGCTCAGGCGGTAGGCTCCAGGGCCCACGTCCCCAGCATCGGTCGCACGCCTCATCTTCCAGACTCTCCGAGCACTAGGGAATTTAGGCATATGCTTTCCATAAGTGTCCGCAGGCGTGTACGGATCGGCTCCCAGCCGTCCATTCTCGTCCGCCTTCCGATCGCGCCCGTCCCGATACCACGACTCGATGCCGATCTCCGCGTGCAACTCCGCCGCGTTCCCTTCGAGAGCGCTCAAGTTCCGAGGCGGCTGCAAGGGCTCGCCTTCCGCAATCCGGACGAAACCTCCTGCCTCCGCAATCGCGCTCTTGATCATCTCACTCGTGCTGAACACGACTGGAAGGTCTGCCGGAGCCGAATCCGGCCTTCGCCCACCGCAGGGCGTCCTCCGCCGGTCGATCTCAGATGTCGCTGCTGCAATCTCCTCTCGCAGTCCATCGTCGGGGTCGGCCTCGCCGGCTCCCGGCCCGATCGATTCCGGCTCTGGGTCTATCTTCACCACGCTTGGTCGGCATGGTTCCACGGGCTCTACTCCGCCTCCTCTGAGGTAGGCGTCGTAGGCAAGTTCCTCTTCACGCTTGTCTGCCCTCTTGCAGCCAAAGCACCTGCCGTGCAAGTACGTCCGCTTGCCGCACGCGCAAACTCCCTCATGCGCCATGAATGGCCGGCGCGATGTGAGCAACACTCCGTGCCAGTCCACGTCTCCGAGTTCGGAATACCGCTGAACTCCCGCCCGTTCGAACAGGTCCACGGCCTTGTTCCTGAAGGCTACGCCGGAGTTCACCGCGTCAGACCTCCCGATTCCGACCACCGGGACGTCAGGCTCCACGTCTCCTGCCTTGAACATCAGTGGGGACGCCTGATCTAGAGAGTCAACATCCAGATTTCCTTTCGTCTGTCACTGCCGCCTGCAGACAACCATCAGCACATTCGCGCAGTGAGGGGTTATCTTCTCGATCTCAACTTGCTGTAGATTCCTCTGCTGCAGGACGTACGCCAAGCACTCAGGCTTCGAAAGTTCGAGCGCGACCAGCGCTCCTGGACAATCTCCTACGATGATGGTCGGCTTCTGACGTTCAACCGAGCGGAGGGTGGTAGCGATACTCGTCAACAGGTCTCGCTTAATGCGCTTCGTCTTCTCTACTTCGTTCTTGGTGGAAAAGGTCGCCTTATCGAAATACGACCCGAACGAAGACACTTCCCCCTCGAACGGCGTTTCTCCACGGACGACCGTCGTCTGGCAGTGGGGGAAATGCCTCTCCATATCCCGAGCGAGCCTCGAGAGCTCCGCTCTAGTAAGTATCGGCAATCCTCCAGCTGCTAGGTACAACGCACGAACCTGCATTGGCGCTCCGGCTTCCGCGGCGGCCGGCAATAGCCTCTCGATCCTATTGTCCTCCGAGACCTGGATCAAAATAGAACTGAGTAAGGATATCCCACGTCTTGCACGAGTCCATCAGGGCACATCCGAGAACAGGCGCTATCTCTCTCTGCAGGAAATCACGATCAGCTTCCCCAGGATGAAACCATATGTCCTCGATGAGGTCCCCTTCGTGGTTCTCCCAGACTAGGCCGGACCGCTTCTCCCTCTCGAAGTCCGCCAGGTCGAAGAAGAAGGTAACTCTCCGATAGACCTGCTCCGGCGGAGGGGCTCCGCGGCCTTCGGGGCACTGGAGCTTGTGGACTCCGAAATCGACGCGCTCCCATACTCCCACTTTCTGCAGTCTTCCTGGCATCAAGTACAAGTAGGGTCCTACTTTCTGCAGTCCTTCGTGCGCTTGATCCGGGCCATAGGGCTCCGGCGGTCCGCTTGGTCTGTAGCACCTGAAGATCGTGGCTCCCGCCCACCAAGGGCCGTCTGACTCTTCAGTCCCCGTCGTTGCGAACCTTGTCTTCCGCATATCTTCACAATAGAAAACTGGCTTCCGGGCATCAAGTAGCGGTTGGATCTCGGCCTTGGAGGCCTCGAAAAGCCGTCGTTAGACTCAAATAATGGTCGTATATTTGTCCGATCTGGCCCTTCTCCGATCCACGTTCCTGGCCGTACTTGTCGATCGTCCGTGAATTGTAGCATTGTTTCCCGGCCGAATCCGATTTCTTCGAACGGGATTCCATGGGGTAAGTCCTGGCGATCTGGCCGAAAAAAAGAAGCGCGGGGTCGCAAAAGTACTCGAAGACGGCGAACCAGCCTCGCCCCCCAATGCTATCGGAGCAGTGAGACAAGACCTCCGAATAGTCAGACTCTCGTCCTGCGCTGCTAGAGCTAGCGCCTCTTCGGTTCGCAAGTACTGATAACGCCGCAACGTCCGCATCCTTCCCAAGATAGCCATCATCTCCAATCGCCCACGGCTGAAGCGAGTCCTGGACTTCGCAATCCGAAAGGTACTTGACCAGGTCGAAATTCTTCACCCGGCCCTGTCGGTCGAACAATTTTCGGGTTATTGTTTCCAGAAGCTCGTCTCGATTGCCGCAGTTCCTCGGGATACCGTCGGCCAGACGGGCTGATCTTCCTCCCAACAATAGAATCTCCGACCCGTCCCCCATGATCTCCGCCACCCAACGCAGGATCTTGGCGTCGACGTCCTCGGTCTTCATGCTGTTCGCAGCTCGCGTCACGTTCGCGTGATCTGTCCACATGATCGTCTTGCCACCACCAAGGTGCTTTTTCTGCGCCCGCTTTGCCATGAGCTGGGCGTGCGCTTCTGCGACTAGTGGCGGCCACTTCTGCTGTGCATCAGCGAATCCGCCCCCCACTATCATCAGCACATTGAAGGTTAGCAAGTCCTCGCTCATTTGCACGCATGCTGCGCCCCACCCGTAGCCACATGCATCGGCGATGATCTCCAACGGTCTGGCCCCATCAATCGCCGCCGCCATGTCAGGAACGGCTCGGTTCACGCAGTATTTGCACATGAGCTTGATCGCTTTCACCGCGTTGTGTCCATCGCGGATCTGGGCGCTCGTCACGGCTGCCTTCGGGCTAGCCGGACCTCCAAGTCCTTCTGGCGGGAATACGACATCAATTGGGTACTTCCAACCTAGGCCTTACACCTGACCCCACTAATCCAGGAAGCAACCTAAACGTGCTTCCTGAAACCAGCGTTGCTTCCTCAACATCCTCCTCTGCTTCCTCAAAACCTCTGCGTTTGGTAAGAAGTTTTGTTATTCATATTAAGAGATTTGCTTTACAACAATAGGAATTCCCTTATCAAGTTTATGGGTTTCGCTTTGTAAATCAGGGGAGTTTGTGATTCGTTTCAAGGGTTTCCTGGGTAACTTAATGGGGGGATGACGCCAGCGCAACCGATTGGTGTACCCCGCCGCATCGTTCCTCACGCCCTCGGCCACGTCTCTTGAAGGCCACACCCTTGTTTGAACGCCATCGTGGTTTTAACATTAAGCCATCGCAGTTTTAGTTTTCAAGAGCTTGTTGTTTGTTTGTGATGTGGCTGGCCTTGGTTATCGTGTGTTTGAGGTCCCTGCGCTTGCGGCTGGCCTTGGTTGACCGCGTAATTTGGATCCCTGCTCTCGCCTCTAGCGACCCCCCCGCTCGGCCCTTCGGCATTGACCCATAGTGTTCGATTTGCCCCCAACGTGTTTTCTCAATCGTGGCCACCCTTTTCATTGCCCGATGGCCTGATGTCACCACTGCTTTCGGTTGTTGTCACCTCGTCATACCCGAGGCCATTTTGGCCCAGCCCCCTTGCCCTTAAGGGGCCATGCCGCCGCGTCGGGGCAGGTCGGCGTACCTCGATGCAGGCGGCGCGCGGCAGCTCGGGGTTGCGCCGTCGGCGCACGGGCGGGTCGGGCCGACTGGAGACCTCTGGTTCCCGAAGGCAGCGGCCCCGCAGGTGGTGGCGGACTTGTGCGGCGCGCCCCTGGCAGCCGCGCAGGCGCGGCTCCGTGCAGCCGAGGGCGCGCCAGGGCCCCCCAAGTCGGCGCCCCCCGCCCATTGCCCGGCCCTCGTCGTCTTGTTGGCGCTGTCCGCGGGGGGAGCGGATATGCCCGCGGGCGTCTGGGATTCGCTGGTCCGCGACGCTGTGGCGTCGGCGCCGCCCCTTCCGCCTCGGCACCCTCTGCCGCCTCTGCCGCTGCCCGCGCCGCCGCCGCCCGCCCCAGAGAGCGGAGCCATCGTGGCGATCGAGTCGGGGCCGCTCGTGCCGGCGACCAGCGGTTCGACGCGGAAGAGGCGCGGCGCTTCTTCTCCCTGTCGTTTCATTGTGTTGTGAATTCTCTTGTGCGCTGAATGTTGTAATGGGTTATCACATGCACGGTTACATCGCGCGTGCGCCGCCCTCTCGGAGGATGGATGGGGACGAGGGGGATGATGATGAGGAGAAGGCTGACGATGATGAGGAGGTTGAGGATGATGAGGTGGCGGAGGAGCAAGAGGATGAACGGGGGGGGGACGGTCAGGATGATGAGGGATGAGGGTGAGGGCGGCGAGGATGATGAGGGTGAGGGCGAGGAGGAGGAGGAGGAGGGCGAGGAGGAGGATGATGGGCAGGAGGAGGAGGAGGAGGAGGAGGAGGAGGAGGAGGAGAGAGAGAGAGAGAGAGAGAGAGAGAGAGAGAGAGAGAGAGAGAGAGAGAGAGAGAGAGAGAGAGAGAGAGAGAGAGAGAGAGAGAGAGAGAGAGAGAGAGAGAGAGAGAGAGAGAGAGAGAGAGAGAGAGAGAGAGAGAGAGAGAGAGAGAGAGATATAGCAAGAGGAGGATGAGGGGCCTCCCGCCAGGCGCGCCCCCGCGCTGTCGGCCGAGGAGTACGCCGCCCTCGACGACCGCACTAAAGTGGAGGCGCCTGCCCCCCCGCCCCCTTAGCCGGAGGGCGCGCGAGGGAGGGTGATGGATGGCGTTGAGGGGGGATGTGAGGGGGGGGGGGGGGGATGGATGGCGTCGGCGTCGGCGTCGTCGACGGCGCCGCCATCCGTGTCCGCGACGGGTCTCTTACGCCTTGCCGCCTTCCTCTCGTCTTTCTCCTCTCCCCCCCCCCTCGCCGTCGTCTTCCTCCTCCCCCTCCCCCCTCCTCATCCTCCTCCTCCTCCTGTGTCGGCCCTCCTCGACCCTCTTTCCCATCGCGCGCCGGTTCTTTGCGCGCCTGCTCGAGGGCACTCGCCGCGCCCGCCTCGGTCGCATAGCGAATTCCCTAGACAGGGCGGGGGCGGCGTCCTCTACCCTTCTTCTCTTGCCCGGGGCCCTGTCTCCTCTCCCAGGTTATTTCTATCCTTTTCTACGTCTGATCCAACTGCCCCCCTCCCTCCTCGCGTCCTCATCTCCATTCCGTCATGCCCCCCCTGCCCCTTGCCCCTCCCCCCCTAGCGCCAGCGCCTCCGCCCGCCGCCCGCGCGCTCAGTTGTTGGCGCGGAAAGACGAGGAGTTGCTCTGCTACCAGAAGCAGGCCAAGGTGCTCCAGCGGGGTCGACGACGATCGGACGCTCGCGCCCTTGCTGCTGCCGCCGCTACGCCGACTGACGCCGTCGCCGTTGAGGAGCGTCGGGAGCAGCTTGTTGCAGCATCGTCAGAGTTGGCTGGTCGATCTAATGATGCGTTTCAGTTGGTTCGGCCTCGTGGGGAACGTGGGCACTTGTCATTTCGTTCCAAAATGGCGCTCGCAATCCGACGAAATACCAGTAGCGTTGGCTCCGCTACCATCGGGTGCGTTGTGATGGAGGACGTTAGTGGCCAGAGTATAGTGAGGTATGAACAATTGTTGGCGGCATCTCTCATCAGCTACTCTCGTAAGTATTATTTTGTTTGCGAGCACGCCCTCCGCTCCCGTCCACCATCGGATCCTGAGTTTACGTTCCACATGGCAGCTCATTGTTTCCGCTCCGACGCGACGAACGCTGCGATCTGGCACGAGGCGAAGTTGCATAACACGATGGTCAGATCTGCCTACATACGTGATTATGAGAGCATCGGCCACGTTCCGTTCATGCACTGCCTTACACTGCACGAGTCTGTGCCAGACATACACCGCGTTCAGGACGCAACTGGCCTCGGCACGTATGCACTATTAAAAAAGCAGGTTACTTCGGTGGGTTGTCCTTTCTGGATTTCTGGGAACGACACCAAGCATGTCTTGTCGTGGTGGTTGTACACGTCCGACGGCGGGCCAGATCAGACGGTTTTCAAACGATTGGTTCTTAGGGATACAGCTGACAACCCACATAACATATTCATTGGTATCCCTTGCGTGTGCCACATCGGTGCTCTTACTACAATGACAGGACTACGGCTTTGCGACTCGTGGGCTCGTCGGATAGGCGCACGGTGGAAATATTTTTCGAGTTGCGCCAAGATCACTCATTGTTGGCGTGATGCCTCTGCGAACGTGTTGCGTGTATGGTCAGCCCTCTTTGGTTCTGTGGCCGCGTGTGACCATGCTTTGAAGTTGCCCCCGGCTTGCGTGGCGGGCCGCTGGTTGTCGGTGTCGGATACGGAGGCGCGGTTGAGGTCAGCATATTCTTGCACTCATTGCCCCTAAGCCTCCTCCTCCTATCCTTCCATCACCGCTCTCGCCCTCCCCTTCCATTGTCCTCCTCCTCTCCTCCTCCCTCCTGTAACGTCCCCTCTCATATCACGCTCCCGCCCACCCCCCCTCCGCCCTCTGTCGGTCAGCATCCGGTGGCGACGGTGTCGGCGGAGATCTCGCTGTCGCGCTGGAAGCGGCGCTGGCGCTAGGCGATAAAGAGCTCCGACAGTTAGCCATCGCCGACGCAGACGCCGCCCCTGGAGCTGCGCTGGCGATACTGGACGAAGTGCGCCACGACGCCCAGACAGCATACCGCCAGAAGCTGGGGCGGTGGCGTCGCGAGGTGCTGGAGACGATCCGCGACCCCAGGTTTTGGTTCGCGGTCGAGGTGATGTCGCTCTCCCACCAACCTGGCGCGGCGCTGCAGGCCATCATGCAGACGCGCCCGGACCCAGATGACATCGCCACTTGTGGCAACCACATCGCTCAATTGGTCGAGTATCGGATGGGCGATATCATCCACATGTACAGTGACACCATCTTCGGGCGCGACTGGCCAGGCGTCTATCAGCGCCTATCCGAGGAGCCGCTCATCGGCGAGGACGCGTCCAGGGACATGATGTTATTCGCTCTCGAGGAGCCTCGCTTGCCGCGATCCGATACGACGGATCGCCCCCTCCTCCCAGTCCCCCCGCCTCCTCTTCCCCCTTCTCGCCTCTTCCTCCACCTCCTCCTCGCCAGCCTCCTTTACCTGAGGTAAAGGGGGCTGGCGAGGAGGAGGTAAAGTTTTACCTCCTCCTCCTCCTCCTCCTCCTCCTCCTCTCCCTCGCTCCTTCTCCTCACCTCCCCTCCCTGACTTCCTGACTGCATGCGGAGGGGTAGGGCAGTTTCGGTAGAGCGGAACGAGCAGCCCCGCTCGGGGCCCAGGATGAGAGCGGGGGAGGGAGAGGATGAGGGGGGGAGAGGAGGCACAGGATGATGAGGATGAGGAGGAGGAGAGGGAGGATGAGGATGAGGTGGACGAGGGGGAGGGGGCAAGAGGAGGAGGGGGGGCAGTGCCGGGGAGCAGTCCCCTCCACCGGCGCCCGCGTCAGGAGTTCTTGCACCGCGGCGCCTCCTTCTGCCGCCGCGTCGTCCGCTGCTTCAACAAGTGCCTCTGCCCGCCACCCCCGCCCGCTGCGCTGACGACGACGACTTGCGGCGGCGGCCTGATAGGATGCGTGAGGAGGGGTGGGTGGGGAGGGAGGGCGGCGCTGTCGAGCGGATGGGGTATACTTGAGGCGGGGTATCGGACTGCCAGCGGGATGGCTGTTGGGAAGATCGTGCGGCTAGCCCGCTACGCGGCAAGGTTCCCCGACTGGCTCTGCTGGATCGCTCGCAAGCCCCACGACGTGGTCTGCCCGCGTCGCAGAGGCGCCCTCGCCGCCCGCCCGTGCTTGTCTGCTCTCGGTCTCACGGTGTGAGTAGCGTGGATGTGAGATCGTGCGTATGTGTGACGTATCATGTGACGCACTGAACCTGCTCCTGACACTTCCTTCAGCTCCATCCCGCCCCACCCCCTACACATACGCCAATGCAACTGCATGCCGCCCCCCTCTCCGCCCCTCCCCCTCCTGCCATCGCGCGCACTGCGCTGCTACCTCCGCGCGCCAGGGGAAAGGGAGTGTAGTGATATAGTGACCAGTGTAAAGCAGAGTGATGCCGCGTGCGTAGGCATTGCCGCCCTGCTCATGTCGACGGACATCGCCCGCCTGGACCGCTCCAGCTGCAAGGTCAGGCACGCCTTTGGCCGCGACCTTGACGAAGCCGCGAGGACAGGGCTGTGTAGTCGACCGTTGTGGGCATGCGTGCAGATGTTGAGAACTGTAGCATGGGGCGACGTGCAAGAGAACGAGGGGGTGAACTCACTTCTGAAGCACATGATAAAGCAGAGCCCAAACGTAAAATTGGCGTCGCTTCGCGCCCGCACCCCCAATCTTATTGAACGATTTTAGAAGATTGCCCGCTTTGTAGCTCGTCTCACGTGGTCGCCTTCGTTGGGTGGCTGGTTGTCCGTCGTCGCTCCTGGCGCGCTGGTTGACTGGTCGACTGGCGCACGCATCGCGAGCAACGACGACGACCAACCGCCGACGAAGACCACCACCACCACCCGCTATGTTAAATTAGCTCTCGTGCCCACCCCCCCCTGCTGCGCCCTAGCAAGTGCTCTTTGTATAGTGCCCTGTACCCGGTACCCTGCATCGAGTTTTCAGCGAGCCACCTTTACCGCAATACCTTGCCTTTAGGGCCTCAGAAGCGGCAGTGTGACACGTCGGGGCTCTTGGGCGTCTGGCGTCGTGCATTGTAACAGTGATGCGTCGCCATGTGGCTATCTAGAGGGATTGGGGGGCTCTGCTGACCATCAGACATTTCTCAAACTACCCACCCCCCGCCCCCGCTGACCTGATCCTCCTGGGGTGTGCCGGGGGTCACAAGTAGATGGGCCGCCTACGCCCGTCACGCCCATTGGGCTGGTGGGATTACCAGCGCTTTCCGCGCGCATCCAGATAAAGAAACTGATGGGGTTGGGATCGAAGGGCGATTCTTTGAAGTGGACAGATGTTAGGCCGCGAGCAGCCAGGCTCCTTCACATGGCAATGAATGGCAGTGAGCGAGATAAGGTCCTCTCAGATTTACACCGGTGGTCTGAACCACCACCCGCCGACGTTGCATTCATCAGCGCAGCAGATGCCCGACAATGGACTCCCAGTGACGTGTGCGTTTGGCCAGTCCATGTCCGTGCGCTCCTCGGATGGAACCATAAGATATTGAACCGTGTGACTCCAGCCATCGATTGTGGTGTAGGCCTCTCCGAGACATGTGGCGATGATGACTGCAGGTGCCCAGTTGGAACGAAATTGTTCATCCCTGCAGAGGAACACTTTTCAACTGCGACGTTTGCGATTGCAGTGGTGGTTGTTGTTGGCGACGACGGTGCTCGTCTGGTAAGGTTTCTCGATGAGTTGCAGTTCCGAACGTCTGGCGAGCTCTTGCGTGATATTTGGGACCGCATGTGCATCTCACATTCTTCGACTTTGTACAAGCACAACATCGATTGGATGTGGCGTCTTTCTGGTCCGATGCCCGGCGGCGAGACAGGAGATGATGTCCAGGGGCCGCTCGGGCATTTTAAGATCGAGGCCGCCGAGCCCGCTCTAGTGATTCGAGAAACTGACCGGGCGCCGCGACAACCAAAGACCCGCAAGGGCCAAGGGCCCCGACCCTGGAGCCATCGACGATATCGAGGAGCGCGAGGAGACCGATGTCGACGATGGCGACTTCAT